AGAGATGAGCTAAGGGCATGCATGTTCGTAGCCAGCCCTTCATCACCTCACAGCGTTTGGCCAAACATCCTCTTCATTTTTTAAATGAACTTTAAAAGCAAACTCATTCCTCACCTTTCGCACATTTCAAAAACGGCCCCAGTCACCCGACTGTGACCCTCGTAGCCACATAATAAAATGTTCTCCGGCCCTCAGAGTTGAAAGTGAAAACTGAGCGGGACCGAGGCATCTGTGGACAGGCGTAGCTTGGCATCTTAATAAATGTCTTAAAATTTGGAGTGGAACCTTGGCTTTTGTTTGTAAACCCTCGGGGAGAAAATGTGAACCCATTTCCTCACTGGAGAAATATCACAGCCCTTGACAGGCTGGAGTCTTTGATCCTCAAGCATTGTACCCCTCTGTCCCTCCTCTCCCTGAACCTAACTGAGGCTTTGTAACCTGATGCTCTATAAAGAGCTTTTTTTCTACAAGGGCATAAAGAGATGTCCTTGCTTAATATTAGCGCTGTCTCCCCATCACCCTCGTCCCAAGCCCTGTCCCCTCCAAAGCCATGCACAGTAAGGCTCGGCTGGCAGGAAAATCTGGTCCAGCTGTTTTGAATTAGTGGCATGGGGAGGCTTCTTTATAATATATGACTTAATCAGTGTCCCTGAAGTAAACAATCCAAACTGAAGCTGGCAAGGACCAGAATTTGGACTACATCAACCTCCTTTGGCTTTGGAGCAGAGGCAGACTTTGAGACTCATAGGTGGGTTAGAGGTAATTGTTACAGATGGAGAGTGGTCCTTGGCCCTCCGTGGGAATGAAGTATGGCAGTCATGTTATTAGAATCTCCACATAAAATCCAGAATGCCAAGTGGGGTTTGAGTTGCAAACAGATAACAGGTCATCTTTTTAGTACAAATGGCCCGGCTATCGCTTGGTAACCACAGTGCCATTGAAACTCCAGAACTGAAGAAGGCATTGTGTTCTTCACACTGCCTCTTTCCACCAAGCCAAGGATAGTAAACTTCAATGGGACTCCATCTGAGTCCTAGCCACGTCTGTTGATCCATGATTTCTCCTTGACACAAGTTTCCCATCATGTATACCCCCGTGGAGTTAGGGTTAGCCTCCCAAGTGCAGAGGCACCACCAACCCACAAAACAGAAACAGAAAGGTGATGTTGTCCCAGTCTCAGTCAGTTCCTTACCTCTCAGACCTTAGTTAACCTACCGGCTGAATTACTTAGTGTTACCCAGAGGAACAACACCCATTGTTAAAGTGAAAAAAAAAAAAAGCGTGCAAGAATAATATTTGAGTTGTTATGGTTCCTCCAACTGCGAAGTTTTAGAGAATTGTATTCTGAGTTTCAACTTTACTGCAAAGATTCCTCATAAATCCTTTCTGTCCTTGCTGTTGCTGCAGGGCTACACAGAAACCAGCTCATGAGAAAAGAGGTGGAAACTTCGGAGTTGCCTGGTGTAGTAGCGAGGAGGGAGTGGAGGCCTCGGAGAGGTTGTAATGTTGGGATGGATTTACTGTGTAAGACTTGGGAACCTGCATCCGCACCGAGCCCTTGGGAAGACTCGAGCTTGTTCTCACCACGGGAGTAGGGAATGTGTAGGTGCAGGAGCTTTAGGATTTTTGAGCTTGGTGATCAATGGTAAGAAATACAGTGTAGGGGTAGAAGATTCCAGAAAGGCCCCTAGTCCTGAGACCTCATCACTCTGTCTGTCCTTGACTACTTTTACTCTATACATGGTGGTTAAATTACAAAGGCTAGGGAAGTTTGCTGTGTTTTTTTTTTTTTGTTTTTTTGTTTTTTTTTTTTTAAGCTCATGGTTCTGGACGCTAGGCAGTCCACGAGAGTGTGGCGCCAGCTGGGCATGGCCTCTTTGCTGCCTCACAAAGGAGGGGGAACCACAGGATGAGACGGCTCAGGCGCATCGGACAGAACCTGCTTTTATAACAAAGCCACTCTCAAGAGAACCCTTTAACCTATTAATGCAAAACTCCACAAACCAATGAATCTGCAGACGAGGGCAGAGCCCTGGTGGCCTCCCAAGGCTGCTGGGCTTCTCAGAGGGCTGCTTTGGAGACAAAGCTTCCAACATGCAGGGGTTTCTACATTGTATCCAAACTCTCTCTCTCTCTCTCTCTCTCTCTCTCTCTCTCTCTCTCTCTCTCTCTCACACACACACACACACACACACACACACACACACACACACACACACACCTGCCATTGCCACAGCCGCCTGTTAGGAAGGACAGGGAGTTTGAGGGTTAAAGAATGTCTCAAGAAATGCACTAGGCCCTGAGGGAGGGAAGGCCTTACAGACAGCAACCAGAAGGGAATGCTGGCATATTGAAAATCCAGGTAAGATTTTTTTCCAGAGGCGCAGCCAAGACATGGAATCATGACCCAGAGCCCACAGGACAAAAAAAAATGAGTTCAGCTGGAAGGAGCAGTTCTACATGTAAGAATGGCAAGAGGGGACGTTATACGGCAGTGCAGGAGGTGACCTGCTGACCTGGAAAATTCGTAAGGAAAGGGTAGATGTATTAAAATCAACACCAGAGGCAGGCACAAAGCTGGGTGAAACTACCATATAGGAAAGACAGGAAAGAGAGGGCTATACGTTTGAGAGAGCAACCCTAAGCAGGCAAAGATACATAATTTAACATTTTATTTTTATTTATTTATTCCTGTTCCCACGTTTTATTGTATTTTCCTGGCAGGCAGCCCGCACTCTGGTAAGTCTGGGGAGGGGGAGGGGGATTGGCAGAATAATGTGGCTATGGGGACTTGAGTCTTATTACTTGGTGCTCCGGGCCTTGGGTAGACATTCATAAAAATCACATGCTGTAGTGGCAGGTCATTTTTTATAAAAATGAATCTGGAGCTTCAGATTTAGGACAAAGGTGAGGAGGGTTTCAGATTAGTCAGGAAATGAGGAAAAATAGGACAAAGGCACCAAGCAAGGGGGGAGGGGTGCTGCTTGGAACCCCTGGGTCTTAGGAGTCGGGGAACCTAATAGATAAGCCCACTGGGAGACCCCTGATGGGTGGCAGACACGTGTTTCTTGGAAATTGTCTTTGGATGCTTAGTCCTCCAGGGCACTTCCTACTGCGTTAACATTGTGGGGCATCACGGCCTTAGACAACACGGTTGGGACTGTGTTTGGGTTTAGGGTCTGCCTTTCCTTCTCCTCCTCTTCCTCCTCCTCTTCTTCCTCCTCTTCCTCCTCACCTTCCACTCCTTCAACCTGTTTGCACTCAATTATTTTTTTTTTCACCGTAGGAAAGTTTTGAGGCATCTCCCTCTTCCACGCCCCCTCCCCTATTCCCTCATGTTCTTTCCTTCTTTGTGAGAGGAATGGAGCATAGGAGGGCGAGCGAACGAGGCCCACCTGACCTGCCGCTCTCACCTCTCTAGCCCTGACTCACTCTGCTCTCCCAGGATGGATCTGGTGCCCCCAAGCACACCCACTGATCAGGGCACAGCCGCCTTTGAAGCTGCCTCCTAGTTCCGTCCCCTCCAGTTCCTGACATTCTTCTCCTCTCTCCTCCCTTCTGCTTTCTTCCTAGGGCACCTTCTTTGGACCATTTGCTTAAGCACTGGCCCAGGAGGAGAAGGCAGGGTTTCAGCTGTAGGCTCTCCCAAGTGACTTTTCGTTAAAAGGCAACGTGGGAGGATATTTGTAATCCAAATGGTCCCCAGAGGTTGCCCTCAGGTGCTGCTTCCTCATTATCTCTGGAACAGAAGGAGGGCAGTTACAGCCCGTCTTTCCCATGCACCACCTGGTCATGCCCCTGTCTCCACAGAGCAGTGGTGACCGCCTTCTGAAAACTAGATTGGCAAAGTGATACTTTTCCTCTTTTCTAATCTCAGAAAAGTTGTCAGACTGGCTCTGAATCTCCCCATGGATACGCCTCTTTGCCACACAATTTGAGGTGCGTTATTGTGTTTCAATTATGAAATTAATGCACCAAGGACCTAGAAAATGATCCTCATGATATCTTTTATATAGTTCCTTATTGCTCAGCACCTTGCTTTGGTTCTGTTTAGTTGATTGTGCCCATTTTTTCTTGCCATTTATTCAGCAAATCAGGCCAGAGAAGCATTTTCATGGCTCACATCCTCACGTGTGTTTTTTCAAGACAACCGGTGG